CAGCGGTGCCGGGAGCGGGTGGTGGTGGATGCTGCCGAGCACGTGGAGCTAGGCCCAGCCGACCCGAGATGCGACAGGAAGCAGCCCAGGAAGCCAGGAAAAGCCCGCGAAAACCTCGGGCCTCCTTGTTTTTTTATAGACTGTGGCCGGAAAGGGGAGGGAGCAGTACTGATCTCTGACCCTCCAGGGTCCTACAGACACCATCTGTCCTTCTCTTTCAGGCTGGTAACCCTTAAACCATAACAAAATCGATAGAAATGCATTTTCAGGGAAACTTTTAGAAATGCTATGATTTGAAATAAACAATTATTTGAACAACAGCTATTTACTTTAAAAATTGTGTTCTAAATCAATGGAAAACATCCTAAATTGCAATTCATTCACAGGAATTACTACCTTGAGAAAATAAACTCCTTTCATTGCATTGTGTCAAGTAGTCTGCTTCTATACCAAAATCTTTAGTTGCTTGAAAAAATCAGGGTTAAGTCACGTCTTATAATAATATCTGGTGCACAAGTGGGTCTTGAAAATTTCCCATATAATATGAAAGTAAGCATGACTACTCTAATTATAACTTAATTTTCATATATTAATCTTTCCATACTTACTTAGAAATGATCTTTTTTCTTTCTGTACCCATACAGAAGACTTCCATGGGGATTAGGGCTGAAAACAGCTTTTAATTGTCAATTTTCACATGTGCACTGGGAGCAGCCCTAAGCTGCTGGTAATGCCTCAGGGCTGTGGCAGTGCTTGTTGAAACCCTGACATCTTCCTGTAGGCAGTTCTTGGGGGTTGAGACTGTCTAGCCACAATGCATACTCACTGTCATCCTTGGAGCTTTCTGACCACATCTAGTCAGTTTTCAGTGAAATGGTTTTCAGAAAAATAATGCTACTGCAACCTGGTCTAGTGGAAGGTGTCCCTGCCTGTGGCAGGGATGTTGGAACTAGATGATCTTCAGAGTCCCTTCCAACCCAAGCCGTGCTATGATTCCCCAAGCCTTCTTCAAGTTAATGATTCAGAAAAGAGCAGACATAGTTTTAAGACTATGATACTTTCTGAAACTCTGATATAATATTCAAAAGAGTTACATGACATGAGCAAGTCATAATCCCAGTTTTATACTGTCCTATGAGGAACTGAAAGTCTTTATTAACACTGTACCCTAGTAAGAGTAGTTTTTGATAAGTAATGCTATTATAGAAATACTGTAACATCAGCTCACTCCTTTTACTGCTGCTATGCAATCTTTGTCATGCAGAGGTACAGGAGGCAAATCACTGATTTGAGCACTAATGACAGGGCCTCTGTCCCCCCTGGTCATTTGCTACTCCCACTTTATTATGTTTGACTTAGGTTCTTTGCATTTCTGGGCAGGAATGGTCTCTTCCCAGCTAGTTGACTGAAGACTACTGGTGAATGGGGTGCAGGTACTCATCAGCATTCTGCATGTGACAGTAGTGTTAAATGATAAGAAATATAAGCACCTTCCTGATTCAGAATGATGTCTATCATGGCTTGATTAAAAAGAACCTATTAGATTGGATCTTTGGAAGGTTGATTGGATTTTGTTATATTAATGCATTGGAATTCAAATAATTTTTTGGTGGGACCCTAACCATTTTCTTAACTACTCCACTTTAATGAATTGTATTCACTAGGACTGAAACTGATTAGCTATAGGAAACTGAAATAGTCCTAGTGACTTCCTGATGTCACTAGAAAATTAACTACTTTCTTCAGCTGCGCTCTTGACACTACTGCTAAAATACAGTAAAACAGAGAAGAAATAAATACAAAACATGAAATTTCACATGCTTGTAATTTTTAAAAAACAATTGTTTTACCTCCAGGAAAGGAAGAACCAGCCAAACAATAACCAATAAAAACAAAGTAGAAAACAAATGAAAACCAGAAGTTAATATCTGACTGTTAGTTTTGTGCTATGTTAGTAAAAAATACAAGTACAGTCTTAGGCCTGATTCTGGTTTCTTGCTTTTTTTAATAGTCTGATGGTATTGACTTATAAGGGATGATGTATCACTATGGGTATGATACATGTATATACTAATGAGTACAAAAGTGTGCTTTCCAACACCATACCTGGTATCTAGAAGCTATAATGAATTCAAAGTTGCCTTGCTCTACTTTGATTTAAATTGACTGCCTTCTCTTCCTTTCTTTCAGATAGGACACTGAAAAATTAATGAATGACAAGTACATAAGATTATAACAATTAATGTGGTGTAGGAAATTGTTCTTCAGATCCTGCATAAGGCAGATAATTTTTTTTTTACTTTTGCTGCATTGGTAGTAACATATAGATATAAGCTCAGTATTTTCTGGCATCAGCCTTTAGAAATTCATGATAATTTTCAGTATGTGGTATTTTAAGATAAATGCTCATATGTAGATGAAAGAACATAAGCACAGAGTTTCATGTATTCCTGTTATTTTTTCTGAGAACCTTAAAGACCTAAAGTGTTGTAGAGGAATCTCGTTAAAGACTATTTTTCTGATGTAAAGTTTATATTTGCTAGAGGTAGAATAAAACCTGAACTTTTGATTCGAAATCAGTCACTCTGATTTTGATCATACAGTATCAGTGTTTTAAGTGAAGGGAGGTGCAGCAGAGAGCTGTGCAAGGGGATGGGAGGGGGTGTTGAAAATTAAAATTACATTTTTTATCTTTTTTTTTTCTTTCTGTCCTCTGAGATCAGTATCAGTTTCTGTGCCGCACTCCCCTACTGTCAGTAGGGAGAGAGGATAGGATTGGTCCCCTGCTGGAAAATATAAAAGTCTCTTCACATAGTTGTATTCATTTGTTGTACTTGTTCTTTGAATGTCATATAAGGGGAATAATGTTGGTTTGCCTTCTGCTATCCTGTGCACAGGATGCTTTGTTAGCTTCACTTAGGGCAGCCTGCTGAGATCAGTGCTGTTGTGTAGACTAACTCCCCCACCCTCACATGCCCGATGGGGGAACATCCACCCAGATCCTGCCAGCCCTGCATTTGTGGAGGCAAAGGCAGACATCTGTCCTCCACTCTGCTCAGACCCTCAAAGCATGACACTGTCATAACCCTGCGATCAACACCTACAGAGACACACTAATATCTTCCTAGGGTATGTGAGTGGCTCACAGTTTGTTATCAGAGAGGAGCTGTGTCCTCCTCCATCTTACCCCCTTCATTTCTTTGGTCTCTGTATTCCTCCAGCATTATTTTTCTCTAAGATTGTCAGTAAATCAAACCAGAAAAAGAACACCCTATTTTGAATGACTGGAGACAGAGGGGAATTTTTCTCCAATTTCTTCTCTGATTCCCTGTCTGTCTTCACAGGGAGGAACCACTTTAAAACATTTCTTTATAGTGTTGAGGTGGGAGAACTGTTGCTGATTTTTCCTCCTGAGGCCTCAAATTATTTCTGAATCTTGTCAACCTATGTGTCCCAGACCTCCCACTAACAAAAATGTCCATCTCTCCATGCAGTAGCTGGTAGGCTGTTCTAACAACTGCTTTGACTAGGAACCATCCAGCTCAGGATGGTGGTCAAAATCTCACAGAAACCAGAACCACCTCCATCCCTTACTTAGAGTTGTGAGAGAAAAAAATGACAGAACGTCTTTATATGGTGACTCTGAGAGCCTCATTTTTCATGCCAGAACATCATCTTTATGTTTCTATACTTTCCACTGACTTCAGAATGCCTCCAGTATTAAAAATTATTTTCTGGTTTTAGGAGTCAGCCTTCATATCTGAATATCTCTGTAGTGTAGTCTTTTGGTATGGCTGTTCAATTCCAATAAATAGGCATAAATCTGCTAATTTGGTTTAGTCTTTAGTATGAGGAGAAAAAAAAAGATAATATGTAAGTAGAATACAATTCTTTAGCTGGTAAACCTTTTAGGAACAAAAAGTGACCGGCATGTAACACTGACTGCACTTTATTTCTTAGCAGCATTGGAATCTGAATGTTAATCTCTCTGAATAAAAAGCAGCTTCTATATAACAGTTCTGCCATCAATGGATCTACTTAAAATGTAGTTGGACAGTTGTAATTCTGTGTTAGGAAAAGAAGACAAACTTTTATCTTGCTTTGACTTCTGAGTTATGTCTCTGAGGGTGTGGGCTGTTCTTAGCCTAAGTCTACTGGCAGAATTATCTAGAAAAGATGATCGGCGTTTAATATGCAGACAGAAACTGTCATCTAGAAAAGATGGGTGTATATAAATGGCTCATTTTCTTCAAGTGAACAGCTTTCCCCTTTTTCTGTGTCCAAGGTGAGCATTGTGCTAGCAATGCATAGGGGATGGGAATGAGAACAGGAGCAGGATGACAACTTCTGCATGAAATGCAAACTAGTAGTGGCTGCTTCTCAGAGGCTTTGCTGGGAGGCAGTGGTTCACTGCTTGCACTCCCCTGTACCTCCCAGGATCCACCACCTCACATCTCCCGAACAAGGAGAGGGAAGGCTGTAACTTCAGCTGAGCTGAGATTTTGGTATGAGAGTTGAGCCAGGAGTCCTGTACGGGAGACAACGAGGCACTGCTGATGGATTTCAGCTGGCAGTCAGTGCCAGAGCTAATTCACTGGGAGCAGCATATCAAAATGAGTTCCTGCAAATGCTCTGAGTGGAACAGTATTTTTCTCAAAGTTATGCTATGCCTGTCTGGGAAAAAAAAAAAAAGGCAAAGGAATGGTAAACAGAGAGATTACCTTCTCCAAGCTTTCTTCAAACGTATTTCATTTTCACTACTGGAAAGCACACTTGAAGGCTGTAGTTCTCAGTAGTAGTCTTCTGCTGAGAATACCTGGAACATCTAATGTCTCCTTAATCTACCAGACATACTGCAGGGAGAAAATTGGTTACCTGCTGAATTGACAGCTGACTTCTGACTTACACTTCACAATTGCATTTCTTGCCTGTAGAAGTTTGTTTGAACTACAGGGAGGTAGATTGGCCCTGGAAGTAAGGTAGTGTAGTGCAAGACAATCATGGCAACAGAATGTCTCCCCACTGTCTCATCTAGCTCCATGGAGATGCTGATAGTTCACAGGCTCATGAGGAGTGCTCCTGTCAGGAAGCAGAGTGAAGATGAAAGGTATGCACCAGAGTCATGTCCCACCATATGACATAACTTGATGCTCTCCAGCTGGCCAAACAGAGAGAGTTGCAGCTGATCAGTTCTCGTACTGTTCATCCTGGTATACTGTCATTTCCCACCTCAGAGGCAGGAGGAGAGAGACTAAAGTTCTGTAAATCCCCTTGGGCTAAATTAAGGTGAGCCAACATCAAAGGATCAATTAAATGTTTTAATGTGAACAGTTTGGATTTGGAAAATGTAAAAGCAGTTGGTAGTGTGGGTTCTTACTGGAAACCTTTTGTAAGAAAAGAGTGACAGGAAAAAGATAAGGAAAGATATCACCACCCTTGGATCTGGCAGTGATTCCTTGATGTTGATGACAGAGCAGTCCTTCGGTGATGGGTGTGTGGTGAGCGCATGCATGTGGCTCCCTGAGCCTGTGCCTTTTATACAGTCCAGGCCCTCAAGGACTTTCGTAACTCTTGGTCTGCTGCACAGGCGCCATCATGTGTGGAAGTGGTCATCAGCCCCTTCTCCACATTAGCTTGACTGGCAACACAGACCTGCACATCCTGAGCCCTGGGACAGGCAGGCCCCTCTGCTTCCAGCACTTCTTCTCTTTGCAGAGCAGAACTTGCAGCTTTTGTTATGCAGGACCTATCCTGCCACAATCTTTGAGACATTAACTCTCTCAGTCTCTCACATATACCTCCCTCCCTCACACTGTGCATCTGTTGCATACACTTCTTTTTCTAAGTTATTTTTTGAAGAAAAAAAACAACCCTCTGTACTTTGAGTCTGAGTATCTCTTTCTGAGAAAGTTTCTTTGCTTAAATTTTTAACTAAACAGGTTTCTTTATAATGGCATTTCATTTCTATTTGATAAATCTTTAGATGGTGTGAGTAATTGGTTTGTCAGACTCAGTGTCTAGGCTCTTTCTTAAAACACAGTGACTGGAGAGAGACATACTGGAATAGTAAGAGACTATGCCACTTGGCTCTCAAGTGGCAAATTGATGTTAATATCATCTTAAGATTGAAAAAGTTAGGGAGAGAGATTCTGCAAATGCTTATGTGTTTTAGCTTCAGAAGCCCTCCTAAAATGTTTGGAAACCATCGATGTTCCTAAACTCCTTTAGCACCCTCTAAAACTTACTTATTTTTAAGCATTCTCTGTATAATTAGAGCATGCCTATTATAATACTGAAAATTGATTTATATTGATAGAGCGGCCTTCTGCCTAAGGCCCATATTGCATATATATTTCTCTTTATTTCCTAATTCCTAATTTCCTAATGGTGGGAATATCTGTTGTCACTGAACCACCACTTCACTGAAAGACAGGAAGTGACGAATGAAGTCACAGGAGCCAAGGACTTGCTTTAGTTAGAAGCAGGAAAAAGAACATGGATGGAAGCTGGGAATGCCCTTCTGTTGAGTGATTCCCCCTAATAAAAAAGTGCTACATGTTGTATTTCACAGTGCTAGAAGGATTGAGTTTTGCTATTTAATTTCCTTCAGATTCTCTTCAGATAGTGTGACTAATACGTTTTCTATATTCATGATAATGTAGCTTCTTTGAGATTGTTTTCTGTTGCTGATGTGGATATAAACAGTTTGTGGAGAGCTGTTTACTTAGGCATTTATTTTTATTAACTTTCTTTATTAACATGTGCTATATAACTCAGATGTGCTGATTTAATGCTTAAAAGTATGCTAATTCACACAGCATTGTCATAAGCAAATGTCTGTAAACAAATATCTGCAATTAATATTATAATGTCATGTTTAAACAAATGCATTCAAAGTAAGAAGAAACAGTCAACTGAATTAAAGTGAAAACTGACTTTTCGTAATATCATAGAATGGTTTGGGTTGGAAGAGACCTTAAAGATCATGTAGTTCCAACTCCCCTGCCATAAACAGGGACACCTCCCACTAGACTAGGTTGCTCAAAGCCCCATTGAAGTAACTCTTTGAAATTCAAAATTTGCACTATAGCTTTTTGTGGATATAAAATAAAACAAAACCAAACCAAAACAAAACAGAAAAAAAAACAAAACAAAAACCCCCCAAACAAACAAACAAACAAAACCTCAAACAAACAAAAAACCCAAAAAGCATGGAAAAGCAGCTCAGCAGAGGTGGAGGGAAGGGTAGAAGTGGAAGGGTATGACTGTCTTTGTTGCTGCTATTGTCTAGCTGAAAGTAGATTAGATTAAATAAACTAGATTAAATAAATTCAGATGCCTAAGTAAAGCATTGTTGGCTCTGGAGTATGGTATATTTATGGATGTATCTGGTCTCTGTTCTCAGTGTGTAGCTACATCAGTGGCTAATATTTATAAAGGCCTAAAATATTAAGCACTTTGTAAATACAATGAAACTTTCTCTAAATGACCTCTTATGTGTGATAAAAATGAGTGGGTCTATCAAGGGACTTTCTTGTACAAAATATTTTTAGAGCACTTGGGAGCAGTGCTTTAGACTAGCATTCCTAGTTCTATTGTGTGGGAGTGTCTTCTGTAACTTGTTTTATTGAGGCATTCATGAAGATTGGGAACCACAGCAGTGCAAATGACTGCTTTAGATATCACAGAATCACAGAATCGCTTGGTTGGAAAAGACCTCTGAGATCATCATGTCCAACCGTTCCTGTCTACCCACTAAACCATATCCTTAAGTACCTCATCTACCTGCTCCTTAAATACATCCAGAGATGGTGACTCCACTACCTCCCTGGGCAGGCTGTTCCAGCTTCTGACGACCCTCTCAGTAAAGAACTTCTTCCTTATCTCTAACCTGAACCTCCCTTGGCACACCTTGGTGCCGTTTCCCCTTGTTCTATCCCCCATCACCTGGGAGAAGAGACCAGCACCCACCTCTCTACAACCTCCCTTTAGGTAGTTGTAGGTGGTGATGAGGTCTCCCCTCAGCCTTCTCTTCTCCAGGCTAAACAACCCCAGTTCCCTTAGCCGCTCCTCATAAGGCTTGTTCTCCAGACCCCTCACCATTCTCTGGCCATATAATACACAAAACAATTTTAAGGAAGAATCTGGAGTAATGGAGGAGAATTGAACATTATAAAGGGAAAGCATGAGATATTTATTCATGATCAAGAAAAATTCTGTCAAGTGGTGAATGTTTCAATATGCCTGTAACTATATACAAAAGTTAGCACATGAAGGGGAAGTGCTAAATTAGAAACATTTTTCATTATTCTAATATCAGTGGAAGTAAAAGTGTTAATACAATAAGTGCCCCAGAATAACTTTATTTTCCTTAATGACACAGAAAATGCAGTTGAAATGATTCATCCAGTACTGAGTTACTTAAACTGAGATCTTCAAGCTTCTATAGAATATATATGAATAACTGAATCAGAGTTCATATTTTAAAAAATAAGAGCGATGTTTCCTACATGTCTATGAAAATGAGGTGTTAGGTGGTCACAATTCATAACAGAATCAAACTTCAGTTTTTCTACACAAGCTTCTTATTTGAGAGAGATATTTTTCATTTTTGGTTCTGTACTTTACTCACAGAGTGAGGTAATAATTTGTTATAAATCACACACACACAAAAGCATTTGAGTATTCTTACTACTTTAATTTTGTTTGGGGTTTTTTTCTCATTTAAGTTCAGTTTGAAATTCTGTCTTTTTTAAAGATACTGTCTACAAATACTAAATAGCCCTATTTGTATTGTTCTGTGGTAGGCACAATACCTAAAAAGAGTATTCACTGTGCCTGATGTTGATAATAAGTAAACAATGTCCACAGGAATAATGTTTGCAGGGACAAGACTCTTGTATTATAAATTATCTTGGATTTGCAGTACATATTCCATAAGAACAGGTCAGTGAAGCATATATTTCTTTTCAGCAAATAATTCTTGTCATTATCTGAAGACCTCTAGAGTGACAAAAAACACAGCTGTGGTAGGAAAGAAGGAATTAAATTTCACCATTGCGTACCTAATTGTAAGCTCTACCAGTAAAGGGTCCTGCTAAGGTCTCCAAGAAAACTGAGGGACAATTATACTTCCTGTGTTTCCTCTGTCAGCATTCCAGATCATCATGTAAACTATGCTTGTGTATATGTGCACTGTCCATCTTGCCCACACAACCAAACATTCATTATTTCTACCTTAATAATAGTGTAGTCAAGAAGTTTCAATTATTTGTCATAGCTTAGGTTTTCTACACTGCCATGCATAGGAGGATTTCTTCACCTGAAGCATGTGTCTTCTGTACAAAGTTCAGATCTCAACATAATCCCATGGCAAACATGGCAGCTTTATGGACATTTAGATATTGATACCACTCTGTCTCCAAAGTTTTTGTAATTAGTAAAAGGTAAGGCTGACTGTGCACACAGGACATACAACTTCTCCACTGATAATGGCACAATCTTTCAAAACATTTCCATGACATATAAACACTTGGAGAACCTGAAAATCTGTGCTTCATGGAAGACTGAAACCTCCAGAGTCCACTTGCACTGTGGAGGTTGTAAGAGTCTGTTACTTGTTTGAAGCAACTTCAGCTGCCATCTTGCACATTCCAAGCATCTTTATTGAGCGTTTCTGGAGTATTTTAGAATGAGATATTCTCAGGTGGTTGTGGTTAATGAACCACACATAGGTTCTGACTGTAGCCCAGACAGGAGACAGTGAGTTAAATCCTTATTCCAGAGAGACATATAGTGGATGACAAATGCTGTCAGCGGTCTCTCCAACAGCTCCCACAGTTATATGGGAGCTGTTTCACTCTTGATGATGTCAAAGATTAGTTGCTGAAAATACTGGAAGCATGAAAAGAAAATCTTGAGTCCCACGAGCCAAAATAGCATATTGTAGGACAGATGTAAAATGTTTCTTGCAGGTGAGAGAGGTGGGTTCAGGTTCTCTCCAACAAGGAAGATCAAACCTAAGTCATCAATTTCTAGCTGGCTTTTCCAGCTAGATAGTGTCCTATCCTTCAACCAGTTTAAGTGACTCACTTAAACTGCTGCCTCCTCCTATAGTGCTTTATTTCCTTTGTTTTTCCATGTGTCATACCTTACTTTAATATACCATTCAATGAAATGTTTGCTTGTTTGTTTTACCTTTCCACAAATAGTCTAAATAGTGCATTGTGAGAAAAATAAAATTGAAGTTGGGGGTTTTTTTTCGTTTTTTGACCTTGGCAGCCTTTATGTGCACCACTTTTTTATTAGCTGGCAATTACACTTTTGGTGATGTAGAAATAAGAGCAATTGAATGATACAAATAAATCATTTTGACCTACATATAGCTTCCATATATTAAAAACTACACGGAATGAAAGCATGGCAGACAAATTATCAGGAAAAACAATTGTTATATAAAAGACTTAGAAACTTTTTCCTATTTTTTTCCATCAAGTCTGAAGTTAGTGAAGGGGACTTGATAGGGGTCTGTAATTGCTTCATTTGTTAAAAGCCATTGTAAATTATTCCAGCTTGAGGACAAATGTCTTGCCAATTTCTTCTCTTGTGTTCACTCCCCCTGCTTCCATTACCCACTTCAAGGTTTTTACTTTCTCTTCTAGGCACAGTGCCTAGAAGCCAAGGGAGTTAAACAGGGCTGCTTAGTGGTTCTCCTAGGCTAGTGGCAGTGGCAGCTCTGGGAATCAGCCATTTCTGCTACTAGTCTCTGTGATGGTTATGTTCAAAATAGCTTATATCAAGTCATCAGCTTCATGTCAAAGAGACATGCTTCAAAACAGGTACCAGGACTGAGCACGCTGGTTTGCAGTGACAAGCAAATAAGCAGAAGAGTAATATCCTACTATCTTTCTGTTTTCTTTTCTGCCTTTCCATTTTATGATTTACTAGTCAAAATATATGCATATATCCTTTGACAGGATTGTATACTGCTGTGTAAAATGCCACCTGTTAGAAATTGTTAGCTTTATGGCTCACAGTGGAAACCTTGTTATGTATCTAAAGAAATGTAACATTATGAAATAAATGAAATATGGTGTTAATTTGGATATCTCCATAACATAGAATTTTTCTTAGAGTGTTTTTTAACATTTTTTATGTTTTTTAAAGCTTTATGTAGCTTTCTGTAATTTTGGATGATACATACTTCAGTGAATACATATTTACTGTTTTATTTCTTCACAGATATTTCATTGATCATAACACAGAAGAAGATAGGTATTTCACCATTGATGCTAGTACTGGGACCATTAAGACTGCCAAGATCTTTGACAGAGAGGAGACACCTTGGTACAACATCACAGTGGCTGCTTCTGAGATAGGTAAATAATGTATTTTGCACATAATTTTAATAAAATTAAAAGGGAAAATAATAATTTTCAGATTTTAAGAAACACTATCTTAGGAGATAACTTTTATTTTTTTAACACCATGGGGTTTTTAGCCAGTTTGGATGAAGGAGAATTTTTTCTGTATGTGTAAAATCCTTAATTCCACAGAACAAATAAGGAAAGCCCTGCATGCCTATGTGATTCCACCTATGTAAATTTAAAATGTTTTTCTGTATGTGATAGAAGGCTGTCAGTTTACCCAGAATCAGTTCCAGGCATTCAGTGTCCTATAATTAAAACATGTCCTATTTGTGTTTCATATTTCATGTAACCTGGAGAAAAACACTGTGTAGTACTGTCTGATAAATACATCCTTCCTTCTTGTATCTGCTATTAACCTATTTTAGCAAATTGCATATTAAATATGCCAATATTAATTAATATCTGACAGATGCCTAGTAGTTGCTGATTATCAGGGTATACTTCTGGCCTTTTAATAGACAAATTGCCAAATAAAGATACAATAAATACTTGCCTATGCATTTGAAAGGCCACAAAGTCTGATGAATTCTCATTGCCCTCAGATAGGCACTGCAACAGTCAAGAAATGTATGACTGAGTAGTCCCAGATAAATGTTTTTTATATGAAGTAAGGATAAAGACAATTTCAGTTAACCTTTTTCTTACAGTGACTTTGATTTCGCACAAAGTTTTAGACTTTTAAACAACAAACAACAAACTAACTGAAAAAAAAATCCCAACCTTATCAGTAGATCCAGTCCTACTAAGTACTCTTCATGATACAACCTTTCAGTGTCACAATTTTGATCAAAATTGTGAAATATTTTTTATGTATATTCCTTTCTTTATTCTTTTTTTTCCTTTTCTGTTTTGGTTTATTCTATCATTGCCAGATGACACAATACAAATTTTAACTGTAACAAGTGGCACTGACAGTATTGAACCGCCTCTGCTTTCATTTGTTTCATCTCTGGGTTTACAGGGATCTGTTCTGCCTCTACATCCCTAGCACACATTATAGAATTAATAACACGCATATATTTTACAAGGACAACAAATTGTTTCTTATTATTGTACTTGCTTTTGCAACAGATGTGACATTTTGAACTAAGTAAATTTCTGCTGTAAATAGTAAAATCTAGAGTTTTATGCTTAGCACTTTAAAAAAGGTAACCACTGACACCTCAGTGTGCCTGACAATATCTTTGTTTATAATGTATTGTTTCAGTGCTGCATGAAATAAAATATAATTTAGGCCTAATCATAAGCAGGTCCATAGTAAGTGTTAGTGTTGAAAATTACAACACTGTTCTACTCTCCCAAATCCCTTTTGAAATCAGTAATTTGATCTATGATGGAAGAAGGAGCACGTGTGGTTCATACAGCATCAATGCCAGAACTCTTATGTTAAGTAATATCTATCCAACATTTACAGCCTTTTATGGCATTTGCTTTCAAGTCTGCAGAGCCTCTGGTGACATAATCATCATCAGGGGGATGAGGGGAGAATTTTATATTGGTTTTATATATATATTTGTACATATTTGTATATATTTCATTATTTTTTCCCATTAACATTATTATTTTGTAGTATTATTTAATAATATCTGTTAGTTTTCTTTTCCAACCTGTCAGTCTCTCTCCTTTATTCTCTTTCTCTTCCCCTTCTGGGAAGGGGAGAGGGGTTAATACAGAGCATCTATCCAGAATTTAGTGGCCAGTCCAGCTCTAAACCATGACACTTATCTAGGAACATAGCAGAATCTGCAAGAACCAAAAAAGTTTGTACTGCTTCAACAATTTAAGAGGTGTTCTGCTGAAATAGTCTTATGTTTATAGTTATTTTCTTGAAATGTTTTCCTCTCTTTACTTTTCACTACAATTCACTGACAGAATTCGGTTTCTACTGATCATCCTTTGGGCAGTTATTTGTAGCTGTGCTTATTTTATGCAAAAGAAATTTAGACTCAACATCACATTTCTACCCTCAAATGTATGATATGCTCATGTTTCAGCCTTATTGTTTCTGAGCCTTTCATAAGAGTTTTGCTGTCACTTTTAGTTTCAGTGTTTGACATAACCTCTACATTGATCTAATGTTCCCCGTGAAATCAGTGGAAGTTTTACCACTTTTCTCTGTGAGAATAATGTTGATGAAATGTAATGATCAGTGATTTTTCTGTTTGCACAGACACTGTCTCAAGCACACCAGTGTTCATTGCCACAAGAATGGGACAATCCTTTTTTTTTTCTTTAACAGCAGCATACAGTGAGGAAGAGTGGAGTTTTGGTGTCCAAGGCACATGACTGAAGCTGTTGTTTTAATTGTTTTAGTCCTATTAGTTCCTGAAAACTCCTTGTGGTATTAAGGAATAAAAATGATAAAATAATACTATATTTCATATTGAAGGAATAAATAATACTGTGTTTCATATCTACAGACAATGTTTGGGGCAGGGCCAAGGAAAAAGTTAAGGCCGAGCTATTTTAAGGTATGGTATAGGATCTGTCAATTAGAATTCTTTGTAATGCTAGCACACAATAATAGCAAGTAATTCAGATTCCTGAATAGCCTCCCTACCTGCTAAGAACTGAGGAAGATTGAGAGAAACTCATGTAAGAATAAGACACATTGAAATGTGGGCTAGATAAATAGTGAAGTGTGTTTAAAATTGTCTAAAAGGGCAAGCTCAAAGAGTTGTCATTAGTAGCCCAAAGTGCAGCTGGAGGGCAATCACTAGTAGAATACATCTGAGGGCTGATACTGGATGCAATACTGTTTAATCTCTTCATTTATGACCTGGTTGATGGGACAGAATGCCAGTTTGCAAATGACACAAAACTGGAGTAATGGATGGTACACCAAAGAGTCATGCTGTCATCCAGAGGGATCTCAGCAGGCTGGAGAAATGTGTGAACAGGAATCTTATGAAGTTCAATAACAGGAAATGCAGAGTCCAGCACCTGGAGAGCAATAATCCCATGCACCAGTACACATGCAAGGCCAACTAGCTGTAAGAGCAGCTTTTCAGACAAGGATTTGAGGATCCTGGTGGATGCAAGTAGGACATGAGCCAGCAATGTGCCCCTGTGGCAAAGGCGGCCAGCTGTATCCTGCACTGTGGGAGGAAGAGTGTTACCAGCAGGTTGAGTGAGGTGATCATTCTCCTCTACACTGCACTGATGAAGCTACAGTGGAATGCTGTGCCCAGATCTAGGCTCCCCAGTACAGGAGAGACATGGAGCAACTGGAGTAAATCTAGTGAAGGGCATGAAATCATTAATAACTGGAGTATCTGCCACACAAGGAGAGTCTGAAAGAGCTAGGACTGTTCAGCCTGGAGATAAGTAGGCTCAGAAGGAGTAGAAAAGAAGGAGTAAAGTGGGAAGAAAGAGTGAAGAAAATGTGCAAAGATGAGGAATTTCATCTGAGTTAAATGACAGGAGGCAATGTGCGCAGATTGGAATACAGCAAATTTTATTTAATCAGAAGAAGAAAAATGCTTTTACTGTGGGATAGGTCAAAAATGGGACAGGTCATCTAGAGACATTGTGGAGTCTCTGTTCTTATAGATATTGAAAACCCAACTGGACATGGCCTAGAGCAATGTACACTAGTTGTCTCAGCTTTGAACACAGAGTTGGACTTACCTGTATATGGTGTTGCCTTCCAACCTCAACCATTTATTTTGTGATAATGAGAACTGTGTTGAATGTGGAAAAGAAAAAGGACAACTATTTCTCACAACTAGTGATGTATTATCATAGAAACTAGGTGGTTGTAAAAATAATTGTGGATTATCCGATCAAGGGTTTTCTCTAGCATATAGTAGTGCTGATAACAAAAGCAAAACCAACAGTAACAGCAAAACCCCAAATCACAGCCCCTGCAAGGGAAAGGTGGCACTAAAATATAAATGGATGGACTTCTGCCAGTTCCAAAGCCAATTTCAATTAGAAAAATAAGCATGTACTTCAAAATTTTCAAAGCGGTGCTGCAAATAGGACAAATAATAGTATCCTTGAAGTCTTTGTGCTCAGTCAGAAGGAATGAAGGCTGCAGAGAGAAATGAACACTGATGATTGAAGGAATCAGAGAATGTCTTGATTTGAGAATCAAAGTGAGGATTATAGCTTTCACTAGAAATTTCTACTTAGAAATATAGCAAGGAAAACTGTCAGGAAACTCCTTTTAGATATTAATGCTAACAACCAAACTGAGTATGTTCAATATCTGCTCAATAGACACAGAGCAGACTAGCTTCTAGATATGGCTTTCAGATGATGTTCACTTCAAGAGATTACTGGGATTCATAAAGTACTGGACATTTAGATGGATAATAAGAATATCTGTGCTTGTAATAAGAAGTGTGATATTTTTGAAAGGAAGATAATTTCTTATATTTGAGGGCAGATCCAAAAGTTTCAGAGATTTATGAGTTACCTTCTATTGAGTATTTTTCACATATTTCTCTTATGCAGCTGGTAATTGCCAGTTTGTAAAACAGATTTCTGGGTTCACTAGATCACTGATCCTTTTGGGATGAAGTTATGGAGTTCCTGAGTGTCTCCAAAATGCTCTGCAGTGGCCAAGAAGAGCAATGCAGATAACTTCCCACTACTTATGTAAAGGATCAACTTGAATGCAATGAATGCTCAAACTTACTTTGGAAGGTTCTGTAAAGTATTCCTAATCTGTAAAGCTGTGGAGGGGCTGTGGAGAACAGGAGAACTGAAATAATAGGGTACCAGCCAGGTTCTTTCATATCCCCCAGACCTAAAGAAATGATGACAAGAGATGGTAAAAACTGACCACGTGAAAGGATATTGCACATACAGAGCTTTGATACCACAGTGTATTATAAATAAAAATACTTAAGAGATAGCATTATGCAATCGATTCTACAAATAAAAAGTTTCCAAGGCTGTTATACACAATAAGATATTTGTCTTTGTTTTTGTCTTCTGTA